TCAAAGTTTTGATGCAAAAACGCATGATCGCACCGGCTCGCCTGGTGCGTTCCAGCCTGGGTTTCAAACAGCAAAAACATACCGAAAAACGACCAAGCTTCATGCAAAAAACTGATAGCCACGTACCTGGAGGTCCATGTGGTCCTATAATAAAACACCTTCGCCCTTCCTCCTGCATGCCGGAACAGGTCAAAGTATGGCCAATACGAGCCTAAGTCTTAGGCTACAGCGCAGAGACCATTCCTGCTATTAGCAGTCTGCGAGTTTAGTGCAAAAACGCATGATGGCACCAGCAAGCCTAGTGCGTCCCAGCCTGGGTTAAAATCATTATTGGTGTAAGGTAGGAAGGTGAGACATTCTGTGCCCTTGTGTGAGCTATATTTTAAATCCATTTCAGATGCACGTGCATCTCGCTTGTACGGGTACGTCAAAGTTGCAATTCCGCCGTAGCTGGCAAAACGCCAACTTGGGAACTAAACTGAGCAGACATCCTTTGATTTTACGAGAATATCTGTTGTATATGTGCGAATCCGTGAAACGTGAAATGACCATCCTCATACGCCTGTCTACGAGTACGGGCACGTTAAACCACTTTTACGGGAAAACAGTTTCGAGACTCAGCTGAGCAAAGAAGCTAAAATTTTCTGAGGACACGACAATGCGTTAACTGGAACATTTGAAATTCGTTCTCCGCACAAGTCCAGATCTCTCGTATGAGCAAGTGATACATCCAGCTGGAGCACTGTTGCCAACTATTTAATTAGTGAATTAGACTACGTGGCCAACTGCAGTTTTATGAAGATATCTGTCGTTTATGTGCGAACTTACACGCGCAGAGCTGGCATCTGCGGCTCATATCTTGTGCTCGGAAATACCAGATGTTACGTGTTGCGGGCATTTCCTCTTGAATATTTGCTAGGATAGTGACTTTTTACATAGAAATTACTTGACCCATTGAGAATCCAGATGTCTAAAATTTGTCTTCGTTTATGCAATTTCCAAGCAGATAGGCTGAACAAATTTCAATCATCAAATTCAGCTAACAAGAAAAATTTCAATCTGGGTTCATGCATTTTACATCATACTATGT